TTTTCTCGTGTGTATGTGTGCCCTAGAGCAGAGTTTCTTAATCTTGATTCTGTTGGTCTTTTGGGCTGGACAGTTCTTGGTCAGGCAGGCAGGGGAGGGTGTTCTGTGCACTGCAGGATGTTTCACAGCATCCCTGGCCCCTGCCCTGCCCACTGTGCCAGTCCCCCTGCCACTCTGACAGCCCACAATGTCTCCAAACATTGTCCCCAAGGGCCACAGCTGAGAACCGCTGTCCCAGAGCCTCGCTGCTCCCTGGTCCATGAATCCTACCGCAGAATTCCTGGGTCACAAGATGCATTTTAGCTCAACTCCCAGGTGATTTCTATGCCCACAACAGTTTGAGAAGCTTAGTAGTTCCGTGACTTAAACTAGTAGTTCTCAGACTTCGATGGGCATCACAATCACCTTGACAACTAATGAAGAACACAGATGCCAGGCTCAGTGACGTAGGAATGTCCTGCGTGTCCCCAGGGGATCTGATACTGACCAAGGTTTGAGAATCGCTGCCTCAGAACTACAGGATGAGAAATAAACCAGCTTCTGTGCTGAGCTCAGTGTCTGCATATTATTTTAAAATTCTGGAAGGGAAATTTTAGATGCAGTAATCATGTTGAAGGACCCAAGCAAGGTGCCCTGGTGGTCAGCATCTTGTCATACCTCGAGCTTCGGTGGAGATAGAATCTTCACATTCTCTGGGGGAAAGCCAGTTCTTTCCAAGGACTGCATTCCAAATAGAAATTCAGGAAGTATTTGCAATTACGAGATGCAAACTGGAAGTGGCTTTTCTCTGGGGTTGATATTCTCCAAGAGCAAATGGGATGTGAATACACATGTGTCTTTTTGGTAAAGATTCCTCAGGTGCAATGTGTTTGTCAGTTCTGTGTTGGATAAGCTTGAGTGTGAGCCAGACTTCCCATGCTGCAAGTAGAGAGAGAATGACAACTGATTTCTTATCTTGCTGAGGGATGGAGGTGGCCTACCCACTATGGGACTGCATAATGACTAGGATCTTGTGTGTGTGTGTGTGTGTGTGTGTGTGTTGGGCTTGTGTTGTGTGAACACACGTTCTTCCCAGCTTGTTCTTAATACATGACAAAAATTGACTTTTCTTTTTCTCCAGTTCATTAAATTCAGTCATGGTGTTTATGTCTAATCTGAGTGGTTTAAAATCTTTTTCGATAACTTCACCTTTGCAAATCCACTGTAAGCTTTATATAAATGTTAGCCCGAAGGCTGCAATTATAAGAGAATTGCAAAGTCAGAATGAGTGATAGCAATCTTGATGATTAAGAAGCCTTTGACCTATGCAGAGTACAGGTCTCAAAAACAGCAGAGTGCATTATGGCACTCTTTCTTTATTTAAAGCAACAAATAAACTGTAGATTTCAAATGCCATGCAATATAGCATTTCTGTATTATGGTGTTTGTCGCCGAAGACCCAAGACCTCGAGCACTCCTTACTGATGGTGCCAACACAGAACTGTTCTCTTTACATCTCCCAAGACTGTACCATTTCCAGGCTTGCACGTTCTTCTTCCATATGGCTTAAATAGTCAATGACAGTGTAACATAATAAAGATTTCCAATTTTTTTTGAAAGAGAGGTGGGCTGGTTTGGTGGAAAGATACTGATGTTTTGCTTGTAATTGCTTTGCGTTTAAATCCCATTTCCACCATCAAGTATCTTGATGACCTTTAAGCAGATTCCTCAACCGAATCCCTATGAGGCTTTATTAATTTCATCATTCCGTATTACACATGAGGAAATGCTCCTCTCTGGGTCTCAAGCACCCTCCTTGCCTGGGGTGACAAGCTAGAAAGTGTCCCAGGTGGGGTACAGACCCGAGTGTCTGGTTCTGAGTTTGTGATCTTAACCCACAGGCTGTATGCTATGTCCCTTGGGTGGGTACTGGCCGGAAAGTGACCTGCATGTGGATTTCATAAGAGAGGACGCAGGACATGTTAGTGGAGGGAAAATTAAGGAAAGGTAAGGAGAAGAGGGTCTTCTGAATAAGCAACAGTGGGGAGAATGGAGTGGTTGGAAGCCAGACTTAAAGGTGTTAGGAAGGGAAGTGGGCGAGTGAGGATGAGGGTGCCTGCCTGCGTGGGGGTTAGAGCTGATCCTGTATGTATGGCTGACTCTTGAAGCCTCTTCTGTTGAGATTCTCCCGAGGTACTCTGCCCAGAGTCTGAAAAATCAAGACAGAAACCAACGGGTAACATGCAGAGGTCAACAAGCTCCGACTTCTCAGGCCACTGGGTGGGTGGGGGCTTTGTGTTGTCATAGTAACCAAGGCACATGACTGACATATCATGGATGGGATAGTGATGCCAACCTTCCTACAGAGTGTAGGGAAATCCCACACAGTAAAGCACCATCCCACCCAAATGCCTAGAGGACCCCATTGAAAAACATCGATAGAAATTCTGCTTTGGCTTGTCTTGTTAGAGAAGTAAGTCAGGTGATAAAGAGAATGTGTGGTATGACCCAAGTTGGAAATTCACATGGACTGACCAGAGAGAAACTTAAAGCCTATGGCCCAGGAAAAGGTCAATGCAGGACGTTCACTGCAGCTTTGTTTATCAACAGTGACAAATTGGAGGCAACTCAAATGCCCAACAACATGGAAGTAGATTATGATTAATCATCTCAATGAAAGTTTATGCAGACATTTAGAGTGATGGCCATGAAAACTATGTAGCATCATCGGAAATGTTGCTAACAGAAACCTTTCAAAATATCAAAATTATTTGAAAGATCCCATGTGTTTATGCATAAGGACTAAGAAGAAATAGAAAAAAACCCAGCAAATTACTTGGCAGTGGTCAAGATGTTGATAATTTATTTCTTTTAAAAATAATCCAGTTTATCTCATGTCTATTTCATTAATTTAGAAAAATCAAGGGATGTATTCCATCCCTCTCCCTGTGACAATGTTCACTTAGCAAGAGGTAGGGGACAGGGGAGGTTGTTTTTCACCAGTTGTCAGTGCATAGAACTGGAAGGTGAATACTGGAGGACTTTCCTGGAGCAGGTGTGGAGCTCAAAGTTAGACCCCAGACTGTCAATGCAGAGGGTAGCAGAGCATGCAGTCACGGTGTGGAACAGACCCGGGGAGGGAGTGGCACGTTTGTATGAGGAAGCTGGCTATTCAAAGTTAGGGATCTCAACCCTGGCTGCCCATTGGAATAAACTGGAGAGTGCTTAAAAACACAGATGCCCAGGCTCTTCTCCTGATCGATTAAACCAGTCACTGGGAGTGGCAATGAGGAATGCGTATTTTAAATAATGTTTCTAGCTAATTATCATATCCACCTGAGGTTGAAGGCCAAGGATCCAAAGAGGTGAAGAACAGCCGTAGAAAAATCCCAAAATGAGATTTCGTGATGTACTAAAAGAAAATTAGGTCACATCAAAGCATATTGTCTTTGTCTTAGGTTTAACGTCACTTGGGATAACTTCCTATCCTTCCATGAAATTCATGAAATTTATCCTTAGTTCCTTCCAGAATTCTGTGCAGAACAGGTCATTGGTGAGTAGGCCCATGAGGGAAGACATATCTTGGATTTGAATTTGGAGAGACTGAGGTGGTCAAGAATATGAATATTACATATCTCACTCAGCAGTCATCATTCGATTCTTACTGCTCCTCTGTAGACCCTGGCTTCCACCACTTCTTAACAGGTCACTGGTCAAGTGCCCAGTAAGTTATGGTCAACTCAGACCTGTCTTAATAAGATGTGGAAATTCCTTATCTTCCTGACTCTGTGTCTTCATTATAACAATTCATACTCTCTACTCAAAGTGTAGGCCCAGCAGTATCACCCAGGAGCAGAAATGCAAAATTCTGGGCCCCACTGAGAACCTACTCGGTCAGAATCTGCACTGTAACAGGATCTCAGGATTCTCATATATGCATTCAAGTTGGAGAAACACAGCAATAGACCAGTGCTAGCCAATAAAACTTTCATGGTGATGGATATTTCTTTATCTGTACTGTTCAATGTGGTAGCTACATATGGCCGTTGAGCATTTGAAATGAGCTAGTGCGACTCAAGAACTGAATTTTAAATTTAATTTTAATCATATTAAAAAACAGCTCATAGAGCTCAATAACAAAAAAATAAACAACCCAATCAAAGAATGGGCTGAAGATCTAAACAAACATTTCTCCAATGAAGACATACAGATGGCCAATAGGCACATGAAAAGATGCTCAATATCACTAACTATTAGAGAAATGCAAATCAAAACTACAATGAGGTATCACCTCACACCAGTCAGAATGGCCATCATTCAAAAGTCCACAAATGATAAATGCTGGAGAGGCTGTGGAGAAAAGGGAACCCTCCTATTCTGTTGGTGGGAAGGCAGTTTGGTGCAGCCATTATGGAAAACAGTTTGGAGATTCCTTAAAAAATTAAAAATAGACTTACCATGTGATCCAGCAATCTCACTCCTGAGCATATATCCGGAGGGAACTCTAATTAAAAAAGATACATGCACCCCAGTGTTCATAGCAGCACTACTTACAATAGCCAAGATATGGAAACAACCTAGACATCCATCAACAGATGGCTGGATAAAGAAGTTGTGGTGTATTTATACAATGGAGTACCACTCAGCCATAAAAAAGAATAAAATCATGCCATTTGCAACAACGTGGATGGACCTGGAGATCATCATACTAATGGAAGTAAGCCAAAAAGAGAAAGAAAAATACCGTTTGATATCACTTACATGTGGAGTCTAAAAAAATGGCACAAATGAACTTATTTACAAAACAGAAATAGACTCACATACACAGGAGACAAATTTTTGATTACCATGGGGAAAGGGCGTGGGTGGAGGAATAAACTGTGAGTTCAGGATTTGAAGATACTAACTACTATATATAAAACAGATAAACAACAAGGTCCTACTATATAGCACAGGAACTATATTCAATTCCTTGTAATGGCCTATAATGGAAAAGAATATGAAAAGGAATATACAGGTGGGAGGATATAGCTCAGTGGCAGAGCACATGCTTGGCATGCATGAGGTCCTGGGTTTGATCCCCAGTATCTCCATTAAACAAACAAACAAACAAACAGATCTGATTGCCTCCCCCCTCAAAAAAAGAAAAGAAAAAAGAAAAGGAAAAAAATATATATATACACACACACACATATATATACATGAATCACTATGTTGTATACTAGATACTAACACAACATTGTAAATCAATTATACTTCAATAAAAATTAAAAAAATTTTTAATAGTCCATATGGCAAACATACGGTAATGGCTACCATATTGGATGGCTCTAAATCCTTCTAAAATTTGGCTCCATCTTACCGCTCCAGTGGACCATTGGCCTTGTGGTTACTTGTATTTAGAAAGGAAAAAACAGGGAAGAAAAGAAACAAATCACTCTCCAGCTCTATTTTTCAACTGGGTGCGAAGAGTATGGAGCTGCACTGTGGGAGGAGTGATTTTTATTCTCACCTTCTCCCCTGAGCTGAGTTCATCTTTAGCTTGTGTCAGCAAGACGGACCACAATTATGACTGTAAAACTGTATTTGGGGAGAAAAAGAAAATATGTTTGTATGATGGAAAAGAGTTTTGAAAGAGCTTTAGAGAATAAGACTGATAATGTATTGAACCTTCCCTGTGTCCCAGGCTAAATTTTTTACATGCATAATTTCATTTAATCTGCACAATAAGAGGGTAGAAATTTTTGTCTCTTTAGTCACTGTTGATTCCCTAGTGCTTGGAACAGTGAGTGGCACATCGTAGATGCTCACGTAAGTATCTTTAAATGGATGAATTACTGTCCCCCCATTTTACAAATGACACAGTTGAGACACAGAGCCGTTAGGTAATTTTCCTGAGGCCATAGAGTGACAGAGCAAGGATCTAAGCCCCTGTAGGGGAGGCTTCAAATCCCATCTCAGCATCGTGCGTGGATAGCCGGCTTGTTTAACTGCATTAATAAATGATGGCCCATCTGCTGCTTCTTCTGGATTCATCTATGCTACCTGAGGCAGGAGCAAAGTTTAGATATAAAGGGAAGGCTCGACTTTAAAATATTTGCAGAATGCCTGCCACTTGCCACACTCTAGGGAAGCAGTGGTGCGTAGCAGTGCTTCCTAACCTTGAATGTGCACATGAATCTCCTGTGGACCTTAACATGCAGATTCTGATTCAGTAGGTCTGAGATGGGGCCTGAGGTCCTCCATTTCTAACCAGCTTCCTGGAGATGCTAATGTCGCTGGTCCAAGAACAACAGTTGGAGAGTGAGGGGCATAGCCCTGCTCTCAGGGAGCTCATATTCAGGAAGTGGAGGGGAGGGAATTCATAATGACATTGCAGAGTGACATTTATGCTGATAGGATACAGTCGGTGCTGGGGGGCTTGTGAAGGGACGGCCAGCCTGGAGAAAGTGATACCAAGCTGAGGCTTAAAACAGGCATAGGAGGCGAGGCACATAAAGAAAGTAATGGAAGGGTGTTCCAGGAAGAAGGAACAGCATGTGCCAAGAATGAAGGCTCAAGCAAGGTTAGGCTATCTGGGCATATGAAAACAGTCTTGATGTTCTATGGTGCCCCTGCTTTTCCCAAGTCAAATACCTTCTCTAAAGGATGGCATATTGAGTTTTCAAATACTGCCTTTTCTTGGCTGCAGGCTGAGCCCAGGTCACCTGCAGATAAACAGCTTCCTGTGAATCCCATCCTCAAAGTGCCGCTTGGTGCTAGGTGATATTTCAGATTTACTGTTTGATGTTTGGAATCCTCTGCCCACTACCCCCCAGCCCCAGGCGATGTGCTGGCATCCCCTAGAAGCCTAATGAGGCAGTTGCCATGGTAACCCTGCGACATCCCTGTAGCGGATGCTAATACCATAGCTCCCCAAACCCTGTGCCTGCTTCTCTCTGTTTGGTAAATTAATAACATTTAAATTAAACACATTAATTTATTTCATGTCAATTAATTTGTATGTTAAGCTGCATGCTGGCTTCACCCTCCCCGCCCCCTCCCCCAACACCCATTAATTAACTCCAGCCAAATTGGGAGCACATCAGAGAAGGTTGCAGTAGCTTCCAGCAAACTGCAATTATAATACTCTGCTCCTATGCAGAAAGTAATCAATGTCAAAATAATTGCTCTTCACAGGTCTACAGTCAGCTGTCTTGTCAAATAGTTAACTTATAATTATAACCATTTGGATTTTTAAAGATAAAATATGTAGCCACGATATTGGAAGGACAAGGCCGTGGCTGTTAATAATATAAACTACTTGTGTTGAATATCTCAGTATCTCTCTTACTTCTATCTTTTTTTTTCCCTTCAGCACCCAACCCTCTCTCTCTCAGGCTAGTGATGACCCACCCACGCCCCACCCTCTGCAGTTTCACAGTTTTCATTTCAAGTATCTTGATTCCCAACAGGTTAGTTATGGAGAAATGCTGAACACGCCAGTGGGCTCCTCTGGACCCCAGATGGGCCAGTTTTTGCCTTTCTTTATTTTCTGTTTTTGTAGAGATGGTGGGAAAGCTGGTTCCTCCAAGTGAGATTACGTTCCTAAAAATCTGCACTTGCTGGAGGGGCACGGATGCTGCCCCGCTGAGTGTGAGCCTTGCTGATCTTATTGAAGCAGCTCCTCTCTCCCCAGACTTCCTTTGCACAGCTTTTAGCATGTGCTGGCCTCCTTCTCCAAGCGTTGGGGCACAGGTCTTCATTTATGGTGGGAAACCAGTGTCTGGGAAACCGCAAGTCGGTGAATGCCCCTGGCATTCCAGTGGCTTGTTTCTTCATTCTGGCAGGAAGTGGAGCTGCTGGAAGGCTGATGGGCACGCACAGGGTTCTACCGGTGATCCAACGTCACACTTTTCAAATGGGGTGTGCTGGAGCCCCACTCACATTGTAGCCTTTGAAATGATGCGTCATATCCTGGTGGATCCTGGAGCTCCAGTGTGTCTACTGTCCGATTACCCCCTGCCCCTGCATGTCCAGCCAGGCGCTGGGTGTTGACCAAAGGCATCCTTGCACAGGCCTGCCCCTGTGTTAGCCTCTGGGGCTGGAGAGGTGAGCAAGGGACGTGTGCCCAGAGCCCGCCTCTGCTGGTGCTGGGACAGGACCCCCCTTTTTTTTAATCACTGGGATTTTGTTAAAGAGCAAAACGAGTTTATCATTTCTGCTATCGATTTGTGGAGGCCCTTTATGACTTTAAAATTTTTTTAACTGTTTAATTTATTTTTTAATTGGAGGGGGAGGTAATTAGGTTTACTTATTTATTTGTTTTTAAGTGTACCCAGGACCTTGTGCATGCTAAGCAAGCACTCCCCACTGGGCCACCCCCTCACCTGCTCTACTTTGAGTTCTTACATTCACTGTCAAATATTTCCTCTGTCAAAGTTGGCACCTTTCTGTAGTTTACAAAGATTTGTCTTGGGATGTGAAAGAAGGAAAAAACCCAACAGTATCTACATGGCACACACACACACACACACACACACACACACACACACACACACACCTCAGTTTATCCATTTTCCTGGAGTTACAACGGCTTCTCCAGCTTGGGCAGATGGATGTTTATTACCAGGGTAAAGAGTTGCAGGGAATGAGATACCGCAAGTTACTAAAGATTTAAGGACAGGGTGCTAAAAAATGACTCTGCAGGCTTTACAAGTATATGGGGAACTGCCTGTTTTCTGTACGCAGGAAAATTGAATTTACAAGCCCCTCTAAACCAAGAACTATGCCTCTTGACCCAGCGACTGCTGCACTGTAGGTATTTAATGAATGTTTATCTTAAGGTCCCGAATTTTGTTATGTCTTTGTACAAACCTCTAATCTAGTTTGTGCCTGCTGTTTCTCCTGACCTAGAAATCCTTTGTCAAAGACACATGAGGAATTGGTTGGAGAGCCATTTGTAGGAACTTCCACGTGTCACCTGGTGTGTCCAGCTGTAGCCCTCAAAATTGGAGACATGACTACTGTTTGCCTATAATCTGGTTGTAATTATCAGGCATTTATTTCATAGGGTGGGGCCTGGAGGCATGTGAAGAGGGATGTCCAAATACCACATGTGTATCAATAAATCAATGTCAGCGAGGTTCTGTGTTGATATGATGATACACAGAAAAGAATCGATCAGTTGTACAAGTAGGATTCCCAGAACAAATAACTTAGTTTCTTTCCTTACGGTGAGGCTTCCTGAGCTGATTCCTGCAGAGTGGCCAGCTCCGGCCAGACGGAGGATGCTTAGCGAGGGTTTTGCAGGTGCCCAGTACTGATGTAATTCATGTCTCGTGCAGGCAGAGAGGATGATTCTCTTTGTTCTGGGAATGCGTGGGGAAGATGCTGCTTTTGGCTTTGTCTCATTTTCAAGGAAAATTACATTTTAGGACGTGCACTGTTCCCTCCCGAGAATAAAAGGCGGAGGGCTGCCTTTCAGTCCCATTGCTGGCTAGATTTTTGCCCTAGGATTTGAAAATAATGGAGTTGCGTTGTCATGGCAATGCAGCCCATGTTGTCATTTTGATATTGTGGCTGATTTCTCGCTGCCACTTTTATTTCAAGAACTGATGAAAGTTTCTTGAGACTCTGCTTCAAGGGCGGGTGGATGGACAGTGTAGATGTCCCGTGAAGGAGCAGGTGTGTGACATGCCTTCCTTCCTGGGTGTCGTTGGCAGAGTGGAATTCTTGAGTCTCTGTGCTGGAGAGAAAAAGCTAAAGAAACTTGGTTTTCTTACTTAACAGGATCACTTTCATACATCTAATGCCTCTGAACCACTGGGCCACACTTGTTCCCCCAAACAAAATCATTTCCCAGTGTGGGAACATGTGTGTTACCTCTGATATCTGGTAGTTTTTAACGAACACTGATCCCTTCTATTCCCTGGGTCCACCCAACCTGCTGCCCCTCTGGGGTCTTCCTAGACTCCTCTCTGGTCTGTCTAATGGGTCACCAAACCTTGTCATTTCTTAGAATGATAAGCAACATTTGTTGAGTGTTCTCAGTGTTAGACACCGTCCTAAGTGCAGGATGTGCAGTAACAAACTCAGCTTTGACATCAACCCT